ATTATGCCTATGAGCTCAATAAAAATGCCCCAACTCAGAGAGACTAAAACAATACTACTAACCCACATGAGCCCATTAAATAAGCTTTCTAGGATTTTCCACCCGCTCGAGTTCCCGAGAAGATGACCTTTCTAGGAGTTTTCACCAACTCCAGAGCAATCAACACATGGAGTTCTTTGGTGTGTGACCTTCGTCTAATATGAGAATATGGAGACTAATGTTAGCAGATAATTATATCATAAACTATGCGACACATTAAAAGTTAATTGATTAAATTCTATATAATAATTATGCGATAAACTATGCGATACCAATGCGATAACTTTCGCATGCCACCTGTATGTGGCATAATTTATCGCATAACTATTTTGCACTTACTCAACTGGTTACATCTGTCGGTCACATAGTATATTGCATATTGAGATCGCACTTGCTCAATTGTCTTTGTTTTTTTGTCGCATAGTTTATAGCATATTTATTTTGCATGTATGTTGTAGGGCAAAAATTCAAAATTGGTCCTATAATTTGGCCACTGTCCAAAAAACCACCCCGATGTTGACCTCTTTCAATTTAAGTCCTATAATTTATCGATTTCATCAATTTTGGTCCTTTTTTATCCGCAACCTGGATTAAAAAGTGACATGGCATGAAAAAAGGACCAAAATTGATGAAATCGACAAATTATAGGACCAAAATTGACGTACCACGTAGATCATAATCACGCCATGTAACATTAAAAATTTGACATGTCATGCCACGTCACTTTTTAATCAAGGGTGCAGATAAAAAGGACCAAAATTGATGAAATCGCCAAATTATAGGACCTAAATTGAAAGTGGCCAATATCAGGGTGGTTTTTTGGACAGTGGCCAAGTTATAGGACCAATTTTGAAATTTTGCCTATGTTGTAGTGCCCCGTTCGATCATAAGAACCAATTCATTTTATTTTCGTGAATGCACTTCATATCATCTTTTATTTTGTTAGCTCGACTAAAAGTTTATTAAGCTAATTAAATTATGTAGATGTCCCCATCTACTTAAATTAGTCCAAAAATTTTATTAATCCTTTGCTAAGAAAAACTCAATCCAATTTATGTCCAAAGTGTATCCTTTTCGTGAACCTTATTTAGCTGGTTCTTCCATGCAAACTCAAAGTCATTTTCGGGCCACTTCATGCCCAAATTTTTGGCCTCGTCACTTAAAAATTTCGGCCCTTATGCAAGTAAAAAACCGCCCATTGCGCTCCAAGTTTGATTCAAATTTCAAACTCCATTGTAGCCAATTAAGGTAAGCAATGTCACTCCCCCAACCTTATGGCCTTTCTCGGCCAAATCACTCCCACTCGAAAACACTCATCCAAGTTCCAAATTGGAAGACAAAAGTCCTCACTTTCTCCCTCAAATTCGAGCACCCACAAGCGCACCGAAGCTGACGTCGTGAGTTGCAGCAGCACCGTGAACCCACGACCGTGCGCCATGCTGGGAAGACGCGAGTGCACCAAGGTGAGCCTCATCGAGAGCTAGGTCTAGAGCAGCAACCTGGACGCGAGGGAAGCCGAAGAGATCCGAGAGCACATATACGAGTCCGTCCGCGAGCACAAGTAGCCGAGACGATCCAAATCATAGCCGAGTTCTTCAATCTGAATAATATCCGATTCTCCCCTGTTCTTATGAATCCAAGAAGAAAGGTAATAGTAATCCAAGAATCCTCTTTTAGTTGTTCAAGAAGAAAATGAGAAATTTCATTTGGTTATGTGAAAATTAAGAAGTTTAGAACTCTCTTTTTGTGCCTTAAAAGTCTAGCCTTAGCACCTTGAGATCTAGTTATTTTGTGAGAAAAGACCATGAATTTTGAAGCTTTGGCTATGTCTGAAATCAAGCCTTTTATGGCCATGAAAATTTGACCTTGAATGCCTTGAAAAAATATGATCTTTATTTTTAGAAAAAACCATTTTTATGTGTTGATGTTTTAAGCCTTGTGATTGAACCATTAAACCTTGTTTTGAGCCTTGATGTTATTCCTTGAACCTCGGATCTGGACCTGGCCGTGAACCGTCGTGTGTCGGGGGATCGTCGGCCCTGGACGTTGCGTGTGTCGGGGGAACAGTAGTATCGCGGCGCAGTCGAACGCCGGCAGCGCATGCTTCGCACGCGTGCCACGGTGTAGCGCGCCCAGGCGCCTCACGCGGTGTCGCAGCTGCAAATGCATGCGTGCGCACGCATCCAACATCTAGCGTTTAGCGTTCTGCGTCACAACAACTCAACGTGCGCGCGACTTCTCGTGCCAACGCGCGACCCTAGACCTCAGAGTTTGTGTATAAAAGAATTTTGTATAGCTTTCTAGGGTTCTTAAATGAAACAGTAGCACATTGAGCTTCATTTTTGCTTTCTCTTTAAGTTTGGCTTATCTGCTTTGATCTCTCGTACTTTCATCTTAATGGCGACTGACATTTGCCATTAATTAGGGTTGGATTTTTCTGAGAGATTTTTTCTAAACAAACGAGGGTTTCTGAAGTGGCCTCAATGTTTGTTATGTTTTTGTGCATATTTTATTGTGTTTTATGTGCTTAGTCGAGTCGTTTTTAGGTTCGTTTTAGTGTCGACCGGTCTATTTTATCATGTTTCGTGCATTTTTATTCTCGTATTGTGTTTTTGTGGTTTGGCGTATTTTTCATGTCTTTTTGGTGTTGTGTAGGTCCACAATAGTTGAGTTTGGGATTACGAGCCATCCAAACCATTTCTGAGTCGTTCCAAGAATATTCAATAATTACGTGATGGTAGTTATTTGCGCATATCAAGACGAGGAGAAGAAGATTCGAAAAGCGTGGGTCAAAGTTTCAAGTCAATTGGAGGAGTGTGCGAGAAGTTAAAGCGAATCAAGCATCAAGGGGTCACCGAGACCATTTCAAGCGTCTCGAGGCCGCTCCCGCGAGTGCCCTGGTGCGCAGCATTACCCACGAGTTCTTTTGCTCGCGCCCGCGGAAGCTCTTCCACCCGCGAGTGCCGTGGTGCGCAGCATTGCCTGCGAGTCCCTTCGCTCGCGCCCGCGGAACCTCTTCCACCCGCGAGTTCCTTGGTGTGCCGTCCAGCCCGCGCGCTCCAAGCCCCGTCCCCGTGAAGGCCTCTGTGCTCGCGAGTTCCACCAAACACCGCACGATGCCCGCAAGTTTCTTTCTTCGTGCCCGCGAACTTCACCCATTGCCCGCAAGTGCCCTGGATCGTTGCCTAACCCGCGAGTTTCTGTGCCCGCGCCAGCCCCCGCGAAATGTTCTTAACCAGCAAGTCCGTGCCCTGACACAAGAAAACACTCGCGAGTGAGCCTTTTGCCCACGAAAATCAGGCCTTTACTTGCGAGTTCGAGCTAACATGCGAGTTTTCATCATTAAATGTGTGTGTTTTAGTGTGTGTTTGTGGTGTAGCTATAAATAGATATTGTCCTTTGTAATTTTGGACATCACTCATCATTTCCCAACTTTTAAGTTGAGAAATCCTCTCCATTTTCTCTCTTTTCTTTTTTTATGCTTTGGTTGGGAGGTCCATGACTATTTTTTCTGTGAAATTCCGACAAGTTTATTTTCATCCAAGTTTCGAGCTTTATTTACTATTTACGTCCGGGCACGTGATAGGAGAGTAAATACCTTTGCTTAGGACTTACTACTTCGTGTTTGTTTTTCGAGTTTGGTGTTTATGCTCGTTTCTGGATTTTTGCTTGAATTTTATTGCTTGCTTACGTGTGTTAGGAATCTATACGTGCTTATCTAGTATAAAGGTCTCGACTTTGTTCAAAGCGTGATGATATAGTGTAAATGCTCGTGTTAGATTATCTAGGATCACTATGCTCGCATGTTTTCTTTTGTTTTCTTTTATTTTCTTGAGTTATGGAGATTCCGTGCAATTAATGTCTTGATC